ACATCTCTCTTGAATCTTTAAATTTACAAATTTTATTGTAATGTTATTTCGAAACAACCTATTTTGACGCTTAAAACTGCGAAAACGGAAATTTTAGATTGTATTTCGATTCGGTAACAAGTTGTAAACAATAGTTGATAAAGTGTATTTGGCAATTTCGGCAATGACCGTTGCGTTAAATTATTTGTTTCGATTAACGCAATTAACATCCTTGCCGGCTTTCGTGATTCGATCGTGCAGTCGTGTTCCTTGGTATCGTCCGTATCGATGTCTTTCTTCCCATAATGTCACATTCAGTAGTACAACATAAGCTTCCCTCCCCCGTGTCTACGTTCGTACGCGGGCACAGGAACTCGCGTGACGCGCGCGCGCGCGTGAATAAACGGACGACTTGATCGAAACTGAAAAGGGTTAATCGAAACTCAATAAAAATAGCCCCTCTGTAAATATTTGACGCTCTGTTTATTCGAGAAAGAGTCGAAAACATATAATACCCGCGCCCGGTTGGATTCCGGGTAGGCGCGAGCACGTGAAATTGAATACAGCAACGAGTGCCACGTCGCTCCGCGAATAAAAAGTATGAAAAAAAGAGACAGACGCTGGCGTATTATTTATCTCAAACAATACGTGAAAAACAATGAAACAGATATCCGTGAATACATGCGGCCGGATGCAACGCAAAGGGGGACGATGCGGCAGCGAGACGTGAAGCGGGGAAGGGGGAACAGGCTCGACTAAACAAATCATGGCGTGAATTCTACGTCACGTTGAACGCACAAGCGAGATGAAGAAAAAACGAGAGAGAGAGAGAGAGAGAGAGAGACGCGGAGAAAGAGAGAGGGCACGTGTGCACGTGCATGCAAACACTGCGTGACGAACCAATTTTCGGGGCACCGGTTGTGTTGAGAGGTCGTGAACGTGGACGCTGCGCGAGTATATGAGTGGGATAAAATGAAATATAAACGTAAACTTTATTGATTAAAAAATAGGAGGGAGAAAGGAGGAGAGAAGGAGAGAGGAAGAGCGAGAGAAAGAGAAAGAAAAAGATAGGATGACGTTCTACATGCACATTTCTTTATCAATAACGATCCGCATTGATGAAAATTTCGTTACACCGTGAAAGTGTCTCATATGCTTAATTTTCGATTTTTCAATGAGAATTTCCAGCGAGAACTTTTTCCAAATTTTGCTGAGACATAATAAGAACGTTGTTTGCACGCTATTATTATGCCTTTGAATAACTTTCGACGTGAACATTCTCTCGGGATCGACGCACGAAGACGCGGCTGGAAAGGGGAAGCGAAACAAACGAATTCGTTGCAAAACGATGTTCTATAGATGTTTGTTATCGATACGCGTACAAATAACGTACAAATAGTATACGTGTTTCCAGCGAACTGACGTGGCGATTCCCAGCGCGAAATTGGCCATTGCGGTTGCGCTGAAAGTGGAAAGCCACTCATTTTAAAAATTCAGTTCAGCTGTGCGAAGCTGTTGACCGCGTGATCCGTTAAGTTAATTATCAAGGAGAATCGGATTCTGTGTGGGGTTACCGCCGTCTTTGAGATTTAATCGCGTAGTTCGACAAAAAAAGGGAGAGAGAGAGAGAGAGAGAATGATCACGCCCGAGATAATTCCTCGGCGAAGACAACAAAGGGAAAGACGAGATTAAAGATCGCGCAATTTTATAATCGACACGTCGTGTCGCGTCACATTCACGGGAAAGTTTGGATCGCGAATACGTAAAAGAAAAGCACCAAAGCTGGTATATGCTGGTATATGCTGGTATAGACCAAGTTGTTTTTCAGGCTCTGAAACCCTGTCGAAAATTAAAATTTACGCAAGATAAAAAATTTTGTGTTAAAAACAGTCCTTTGAAATTCTTACTTTTACATGGAGACTCTTTCTTTGCTATTACTTTAACATGGAGACTATAAAAAGTATACAAATGTATGTGTTGTAATATGTTATAGAAATGTAAATGTAATATGTTAAATTCACATATTCATCTTGTTAATATTATTTTTAACATACTTTATAATATTGTTGACGTAACACACAACTTTCGATGGATTCTTATTAACGCAACATTTTTTATTGTGTGCGCATAGATGGAAATGAACAACACTTTTCTATTAAAATATGTGATAGCCTTATGAACATTATTATGTATTTACTTGCAAATAACTATTTTTTAAGATTGGATTCTCGCTTTTAGAAATTAGGCTCTAAAACAGATATATCCATAATGCCTATAAGAAGTTAATGAAGAATCAAACGACGCTAACACAACTGAATGTGCTCGCAAACAGAAACTATCACTTCAGCTGCAACTACCGCACACAGTAGACGAAGTTCATGTACCGTCCGACAGGGTTTAGTACTTTACAGCCGAGGAACACGGATATGTCGATTTATCATGCCTATGTCAGTTTTCGTGCTTTTCCTCTATATATTATGTCATAAAATATTGTGCGAACGCCCACACCAAGCGAACCAGCGCCGGCGAATTTGGCGAATTTGTCGACGCTCATGAGCGAAAAGTCGGCGCGTCGAACGCTTCGCTTCAACGCGTCCGTTCCCGTCGCGCAACATTCAAATATACATTCCATATTTCCAGAGAAGCTTTCCCCGCGCGGATTTAAATTATGTAAACGATAACGCGCAACATAATTACGTGTTAGCGTGTGTTCGCGTACGTAAACGCACGCCCCGCTCGCGCGTCACGCCGAAATTTTAGTGATTTAAACGGGCATCTGGATAATTAACGTGTAGTCGGCATAGCCTAACTAAAGCATCAAACGGAAATCGGTCGGTCCAGCGACCGCATTAACTTTCCCACCGCGCGCATGTGGCTGCGTTCGCACACGCGTGTATCATTTTCTTTTTCTTTTTTGTCCCTTCTTTTTTTCTTTTCACTGCCTCCCCCTTAATGCGATATCGTTCTGAAAATATTCGGACGCTTTTACGTGCTGCGGTACCGGCAAGGAAGCAATTTTTGCCGCCAAATTGCGTTATATTTCTACGAGATACGCGACGGCCAACGTTCTCATAGTACCGCGTGCGCGCGCACGCTGGCGCTCGCGTAAAAAAACTTGAGCGAAAGTGGAAAAATTCATGACGACGGAAATATTCTGCGGATGTGCCGCGCGCCCCGAAAATATTCCACTTCGTCAGATGCAGATTCGTGCGCGGCAAATCACTGTCGCGCGCACCGCAGCATCCCCGCGGATCGACAGGAAGTCGAGCTGGTTGTCGGTTCGGTACAGTACATTCAAAAGTGGATGAGATGGGCCGGGTTCGGACTCGCATTGATACTATATACTTTCCGTAAAGTCTAAATTCTTTTGTAATCATCTTGTATGCAATTAGAACGTCCTTAGAGGACTAGTTCTGGGATCACAATAAAAGCGTTAATTTATCTGTCAACATTATAAAAAATTAGTATCAATTCATGGCTCATATATTCTCACATATATGCAAGATTATATGATCTTATATAAAGATGAAACTTGCTTTTACACATGAAGGGAAATTTTATATAGTTCCACTAAAAATATATTCATAGTTCATATATTCAAATATAATTTTCATAAATTTAGAAGAAAAATATTAAATAGAAAGGACTAGTCTTTCAAAATAAGAATTACATTAGTTTAAAAATATCGTTTTTTTTGTCCAATATTTTTTTCTCTAAAAATTATTTTTGAATTCTTGAATAATAAAAATAGATAAGAATACGAAGATAGATAAGAATAAGGATAATAAAAATACGATATTTTAGTAGAACTATATGTAGAATTTCTTCGTGTAAAAGTAAGTTTTATCCTTATGTAAAATAATTGATTTTTATCAAGATCACTGCGCACGGCTTTTCGACGTTCAAAAAATTATATGAAGAGAATTTAAGTAAAAATGTAAAAATTATCATAAAATTTTTTAGCCGGGAATATTATGTTAATATTCTGCCTCTCTCTTAATTTATTATGTTTTTTTTCGTTTTATATTATTATATTTTAATTTAATTTTTTATATTTTTTTATATTTTAGGAATTGAAGTCTGTTAAATAATTTTATTAAAACGTTACGTTTCATAGCAAGTAAACTGTATTGAACGTCTATTTTTATATTAATTATAAAAATAAAGTTCAAAAGAATTGTATATGGAAGATAATTATAATATTCTTTCCGTGCTTGCAACCGGTACGGTAGAGCGATTTGTTTAACTTACCGAGAGTTGGATAGACAGATAAATAAATAATCGCTAGAAGACCACTGTCTAAGAGCGCGTTCAGAAAAGAAATTAAATATCGATACAGTATTAGTAATTATAATTTAAATAAAAATTAATTTAGATAAAAATTCATATATAGTTCAAGCGTTTAGACGAGCATTTAAATAAATACTGAAAAAAAATCCCACTTAAATTATAATAATTATCGGCGACTCAAACTATATTTTTGATTTTAACTCAAAAGATAGTAGTGATTTGCATGTACGATTATTATTACTGAAATTATAACAACACTTATTAGAAAAACGGTTCACCTGACTATAATTTTTCACTTATATGATTATAGTACAAATATCAAGTAATTTTTTCTTAGATAGTATTAAATTTCTGCATACAGATAGTACATGTATTTCTGTAGATAGATAGAAAGATACATGGGAAAATATTAGTATTTATTCAAAACCTATATTTTCGTATGTAAGCAGGATTGTATAATTTTACAGTAACTCGACGTTGAACTGTAGATTTATGCGTCTTTGGCCAACGTACTTATTTTATTAGAATCGACATTCGCGATTTGCGAGTCTGCGAAAAATCTATGCTCGGTAATTCGTTGGGAGCGAACGACAACGTATTTCGATAACTGGAGAGGCGCTTCGCGTATAATCGTGCGAGCTCTCGAGCCCCGGAATCGAGATCCAGTCGGTCACATCATTTTCCACGGTGCGTCCGCGTCGAATTATACGACGGCACGCATATTTCACAGATGCAGACTACGCGTAAACGCCGCCGATGCGACGACGCGAGCTAACATCCCGGCGCCAAGTGCCAGCGGGAATATTTCGAATGCAGTCCGTCGGAATTATTCACCTTTTTATGCTGACCTGAATTTTATACGCGTTTCATCAAAGGTGTTACGCGGCCGTTGACCCGTATTTCGGGAGCATTTTATAAAATGTAAACATAAAACAGAGGCGGAGAAATCTTGCGTTATGAAACGAGACCGAGGTGCCGCAAAAAGGATCGTTGCACGCGGCCGGCTGTTTAGTGTTTCATTCATATTCGTGTATGCGCGTGACGTTGCTCTGTTCGGGAGCGCTTCGCGCGAACGGGATTCGCGTGTCACGGCGGTGAAACGAAATTATAATGTTTCTCTCTATGAACAAACTTCCCGCTCGAGGCCGTATCCGTTCCTATCAAACGTTACGTTTCACAAAATACAGAATACAAAACGGAAAAAAAAACAGTCGCATGAGATAGATTAGACGCATGGAATAATCCTCATCGATTATCTTGAAAAAGGGAGAACAATCATAGAAGAATATTATGCATCATTGTTGGACCGATTGAATGATGAAATGAAGAAAAAAATGGCCTCATTTAGCGAAGAAAAACATTCTCTTTCATCAATACAGTGCACCAGTTCACAAATCGGTAAAAGCAATGGCAAAATTGAACGAATTGAGGTATGAATTGCTGCCACATCCGCCGTATTCTCCAGATTCGGCCCCGTATGACTTCTACCTGTTTCCAAATCTCAAACGATGGCTCCGGGGAAAGAGATTTGCTTCGAATGAAGAGGTCGAATGGGAAACAGACGCATATTTTGGCGGTTTAGAAACTTCTTATCATTTAGAAGGCTTAAAGAAGCTAGAAACTCGGTTGGACTCGGTGTATGAGCTAAAAGGAGATTATGTTGAAGAATAAAGTTGAGTTTTGCCGACAAAATATTTTGTTCGCTTTCATTCTAAGGACCTATCAATCAACCTGGTATCAACCAGCAGTACTAGCGTGCAGTACGCGGTGATACGCGAGCCGAGACGCTCATAATCGTTACCCGCTGCAACCCCGCGCCTACACCCTCGTCTACCCTTGCCCCTTTCTCACGCGCATACCCGGTGGTCCGATAAACCGGCACGCACGATACCGTAGTGACCTATTGTCGCGACGCCGATGGACGACGCTCTTTTCTGCGACGCAATTTCGCGCGGTGTGTCGCGATGTTCGCGCAAAGAGCCCGCTGCGCGCGCGCTGCGAGAAAGTGTGTACACTGGCTGGGCGCGAATGTGTGCCGGTCTGCGGCCGCCCTTTAGCCCCGTCCTTTTCGACGCGCCCGCCACGCACACACAGCCGCACGAGCCGTGCGAGCTCACTTCTAGCGCACACGCGCATACCGCAAAACCCGCACGCTACGTACACATTCGTCCGTCCGCCGCGTCGCCACGGGCTAAAAGGCCGTGATCCAAACCATTTCCCGAAATTGCTCGTGGATCGGGCGCGTAACTCGTCGATTGACGTTTCACTGCCGGCCGCGGGCCGCGTCATCGACGGCCGCTCGGCAGGACGGTTAAGAAGCTTAAAACACAGCCGGTCTCCTCCTCGCTCCCCCCTCTCTCTCTCTCTCTCTCTCTCGATCTGTCTATCCGCCCGTCCCTTTCTCGTCCTCTGTTTCTGTCGGACGTCACTTTGACTTCGCTTTAACACCCGAGGAGATCCTCTATATCGGCGCGCCCTATGCTATGTGTCATCCGCGTTTAATTACCGGGCTCTTCATCGTCGTCGGATTCCACGTAGTTCCGCCAGTTTTTCGTCGAAAACGATGTTCGAACCGCCCGACCCCGTTGTCCCTGGTGGTTACGTCGCGCGTAAGACAGAGAAACGCGACGCTACGGTGTCACAAAGCGGCCTTTTCGCAGACTCACCGAATCGTGAGCGCGACGGAGCGATTAACACGCGTGCTACCGCCCGATCGAAAGGGAAACGACCGGAGAGGTTTTCAGCGAGTCGGGGTATCATCGTAGAGGATCGAAACCACGGAGGGACAATTTTTCTTCTCCGCGCGTGCATATTGATCACTCGCAGAAAACTCCGTTTGCGTCCATTTTTCTCGAACGCTTCAAATGGGACATAATCATCTTCCGGTAACTACGCGGTCGCTTGTGTTAGACTTCTTTTTCTACGCAGCTTAATGGATGCTCGAACGCATGTTTGCTGAAACGTTCGTCGCAGGCCTCATTTTCGGGCAGCGTCATGCAAGTACATATGACGCGCTGATCTCTCACATGAAGCTTAGCTTTATTCGAAATTTGCAGTTTTTCACACTGGACACTGAAACGTTACGTTAATTTTGTAGTCATTTGCGTTTCAACTCAGCTATACACTCTCTTTCTAGTTTTAACCTAACGATGGGTAGGAATATGCATACAAGATTATCGCCATTGACCAGCAGTATAATAATGCTTATTTCACAAAAAGTACTAGATTCAAGTAAATAATTACTCCAATATTCTCCGACAAATTTCTATTTGGAACAAGTAATATATTTGATTGATCCAAGCAAAATTTACTTAATCCAAATAAAAATTTACTAAGGGATATTGGAATAAATGTTTACTCGAATCTAGAATCTTTCTGTATAAAAAAATTAATCTCCTGACTATAGTTCTTCCAATTATGTGCGATTATAGTTAAAAACACCAAAAATCTCTTTCTCAGTGAATATGTTCGCCGCCAGTGTTACACGCGTGTGATAACTGTCAGTTTTCTTTTTGCGTTCAGGAAACGAAACTTGTTCTATACATAAGAAAATACAAAGTGGAGAAAATTTTTTAAGCGAACTGTACGTTGAGAAAAAAATGTTTAGTACTTGTAACTATAATCGCATAACGAAAAGACCGTTGTCAGAATGACCATTTTTGTGGCAAGTATTACTATATTGTTAGTGATAATAACTGTGCATGTGTGCATGTCGTTATTATTATTTTTTTGTTGGAATGACGAGAAGATGCAATTGATGCGACATAAAGAAAATTTTACTTCAACAATGTAATATACTAATAGTATAATTTACGAGATATATTACGCAACTATCTAGGATATACTTACATTGAAGGCAAAATTTACATATGACTGAAATAAACAAATAGTTTGATCAGATATATTTTTCTAACCTGATTGTAAATAAATTCACCATATGTATAGGAGAAATATCAAAAAGACGAAAAGTATCTTATAATTGCACGCATTTTTAATGATGCAGCGTTTGGATTGCGTGTTATTTTCAACGTCCGTATGGGAAAAACAATTTTACCTCGGGTAGTGACTATTGCGCAACACATAATACTACTGTGTATGTGGGTCTATGAAAACGTCAAAACGGGATATCCGTCGTTTGTGACATAAATCATTGGTGTCCGGATATTTGCGGCAATTTGCAATAGTAATCGTGCCGTTCGCGTTGCTTCCTAAATTTCGCAAAATGTTTTGAAGTTGACGTTATAAGTATATTCTAGCTGTACAAAATTACTATGGCATGGTCGGTCGTGAAAAGGTCACAACATTCTTTTTCGATGAGATTCGCACCACATCTCGTACCGATAATAGGAAAGAGCATCTCCTAGAAATGACTGGAAAACAAATTCTTCCGTTAGACACGGGTGTTACCAAACTTGATAAGGAAAAGAAATCTCGTTGTAACTGAACATACCCTTTCCGCTCACATTCAATGTTTCTATCGTCGAGAGAAATGATCCGCGTGAAGAAATAACTGTGATTTGATCGATGTCAATTCATTTCTTCCTCCCAGCGTAGCGAACACGTTGATCCGCGCTGAGTTCGATGATTATTTTTATTTGGGTGTGATTAAAAGTTCGCCGGGATCACTTATATATATTGGCCGTTTCCGTCGGTAGGCACGAGATATCGTGGACGGGCGTACGCGAAAAGTTTGAAGTACGAAATCGGCCATCCGTCTCTCTCGCGTGCGGCCCGCTAATTTCATTTTAACAATCCGCGCGACTTGCTGGCAAAAAGTCGCGGGGCAGTTCGAATTTTAAAGCGCGACAGCGCGCGCGCAGGATTAATATTTGTAATTAAAAATTTCGTCCGGTCGCGTTCCAGAGAGTCGGGCGTTATTAAATTAATGGAAAACACGGCCGCGTGCCGGCGTGATCTTCGTTTCGCCGGGAGAGCGCGACAGAGTCGCAACGGTTAGCCGGTTCAGATCGGTTTTCATTTTATCAACGAGTAATTGGCACGTCGAAGGTCGACGGCGATTAATCCGAGCGGGTCCTCGGGCGCGCGTGCGACAAAAAGCGCGTCGGTTTCCGGACACGACGTTTGACACACCTAATATCCGATATCAAACTCCATAAAAGCTTTGTAATCGTGCGCTCAACGGGACACTTACAGGTTCGGCATAATCACGACGAAAGTGTCGGCTTCGCCGTCTCCGGCGTCTCCTGTGATTAAGCGTAACCCAACTCGCGAATCGCTCGAATCAGGCTTGAATCCCGGCTCCTCGCCCCGCGTCCCGTAAATCACGATTAACTCTGGGACGGATGGGTCGGATGGACGTGTATTGTCGTCGAGCGCTTAAGCCTCTGTAATACACCTTCGAGGTCTCTCCGAGTTCCGTTTAAACCAATACGTCGCATGTTACATATCGGCGGATTTTTATCTCCGCTACTTTCGCAACTAGAGCGCGTGCAAGAAATAGTACACTGGACGGGGATATATATATATATATATATATATATATATATAAATAATGTCCTGCATTAGAGCGAAATTTTTTCCATTAAGTACACGGATAAAGCGTAATACAATTTATTACGCGTACTCTCTCGACAGGGTCAAGCAAAACACAGATGCATGCGTCGGAGAGCGCGCGCAAGCTCGAGTGTGTACGCTCGCGTTTTTTATCCACGCGATGTAAAACCGTAAATCCGTAAAACTGTAAAACGCGGCGGTTCTTTCGCGACACGGACGCGCACACATACATACATAACTGTGTGTGAATTTATATCGCCGAAACATTTGCCTCGACGTGAAATCGTCGCAAATGCGACAGCCAACCGTATCGATTACGCGTTTTCACACTGCAACGTTAATCTGATGTTACGCACGTCCGCGTAGCCTATCGTCGAATGTCAATATTAACACGGCGTATCACGCGCGATATTATTTAATAACAAACAACGCTTACTTTTAATCCCGGTAGTCGGGAATTTCAATTAAATTTTCAAATCGCGCCACCGACGGAATTCAGCGTGGAAACCGGCCCCAGTGCGGCGACTTTCGCGATTACAAACGCTCGCGTGGTCGCGACGCGAGTGCAAATAGAAAAAACGGAACATTCCTCGAGTCCACATGCATCCGTGATATCGTCGATATCCGGAAAGAGTATCATTCGAAAATTCCCCAAATAAATCCCTCTAGTTGCGCGAACTGAACTCACATACATGCTGCGTTCAGACACCACACTGAGGATAGAGCGGCATTTAATTGACCAATCAGGACAAAAAGAACTAAGATTTCTTTATCATGATTGGCCAATTAAATGTCACTTTGCACTCAATGTATATTCCCGAATGCAGCGATACTGAGAGACAAATTTTCGGTATTTGCGACTTAATAATCGCATAGAAAAATAACTATAGTCAGGAAAATTATTTTTCATATGTATAAATGTGTATATGTATTTTTTAGTATTTTAGATCGTCATAATTTTGCACGCATATCGTTGTTACTACTTGTTTGTCGGAGCAACGACGAGAAGATATTGTTCGCACCTCGACCAAAATGACGATAATTTTGATGAGATCTCCACGAATCACAGTAACCATTGTTTTTCTACAGTGCGCGAGAGAAAAATGTGCAGATCTTCCCTCGTGGTAACGCAATCAGTGAGGAAGAAAGATTTAGCA